AGAGAGAGAGAGAGAGAGAGAGAGAGAGAGAGAGAGAGAGAGAGAGAGAGAGAGAGAGTAGAGAGGAGAGAGAGAGAGAGAGAGAGAGAGAAATNAGAGAGAGAGAGAGAGAGAGAAAATGCGGCAGAATTTAATGCCCGGTGAGCAAATCCAATTTTCTACAAAACCCGCAATTTGTACAAAACCCGCAATTGTACAAAACGCACGCGTATCTGTGCACCCTACCTTCTTCAGCGATACTACACCTACCTTCTTCAGCGATACACAGCGTGAAAGAGCGGAGACTCTCCCTTTATGTCCATCCTGGTTTTTAGAGTCATTGCAAAAGCCAATAACGTTCATACCATCATCTTTCTAGTTTATGGTTGACCTCAAAAATCAGTAGATAAATAGTATTCAAATTTGAAAACTTTTTAATTGATCATCTCCACCTCCACATATATTGTATAAATAATTATTTAATTAAATCTTAAAAGATAGTTTATCATACTTTGAGCTTCATCAATAGAATAAAAGTAGCCACCCAATTCGACATTCAATTGTCAATATTAATTGTGTCTATCTTATACTAAAGATAAATGATCTCGTTCTATACTTTTTATTTTAAATTTAATTACTAAAATTGAACATAACTTTTCAAACCATTGTAATGTTTCCGATACAAAAACTATCATCTTCCGAATCTTTTCGGTTTTTTTGGGTGAGTAAATGGGAGAGAGCCCTTACCCTTGATAGGATTGAGATTTAAGATATGTAACATTGCAAACGCCAAGCGCTAACCAATTATGCCGGGACTCTTTTCCTACTTTATACCGTTCTCGCCCATTGGCAAGAACTTGTGTTAAAAACTCATAAAAAATAAAGAAAGTAGAAGTCCAACTTTGATAGCCTTCATTAAAACGATAAGCTTTTTTCATGAATTTAGAATACGAGACTAATCTACCACATTCCAAACGCATTGATATCGCATTTAGGGGTCGTAAATGTATTTCTAAATTTGGGGACCGAAAACCATTTCCTGCCTTAATTTTTTTCCTCATTTCATATCAAAAATAAAGAATTTTATATCATTGTCTTTACCCTCTGAAATTGATATCTAGCTATATTTCCTTATTATAGAGACGTCCACTCTATAAAATTCAATTAATTTCACAAAACCACCCCCACAAGTTAGAGGGATAAACTATCTTAAATTTTATGTTTTAAATAGAGTATCTTAAAATTTTAGAGAGATCAATTATTTCTAATTTTAAAGAGGAAAACTATCGAAACAATTTTAGACAGATAATTTATCTCAATGTTTTTATAGACAGACTATTTCAAATTTTAAGTTTTAGAGATAAAATTTTTTAAAATTTTAGAGAGATAGTCATCTAAAAAAGTTTTAGAAATATGCACTATCTCAAAATTTATAGAGAGATAAACTATCTTAAAATTTAAGTTTTAGAGAGAGAAAAACTATCTCTTATTTTAAGTTTTAGAGAGAAAAGTATCTTAAAATGTTTTTTTTAACATGTAAAGTATCTTTAAATGGTTTTTTTAAAAAAAACAGTTAAAGTATCTTAAAATATTAGAGAGACAAACAATATCAAATCTTAGAGAGATAAAGTATTTAATTTTTTTAGAGAGATAAACTATATCAAACTTTAAATTTTAAAGAGAAAAAGTACTTGAAAATTTATAGAGAGATAAACTATCTCAAATTTTAAGTTTTAAGGATACAAAATAGAGTAATGATTTCATGCAACCATTGTATAGTAATATGATGCAATAACCTTAAAAAATCATCTTATAGCCGTTTGTTTGATCCAAATTTTGATATATACACTCTTTTTATTCTAATGAAGAATAAAAAAATAAAAAATAAAAATTGAAAACACAACATATAAAGTTTGTTTTAGCCCAATTAACATAGGTCGTTCATTTTGGTGAGATACTTAGATCTTGACCTTAAAAGGATTTTTTCATTTCCAAATTTTTTTGGATGGCTTTATTATCATTAGATGAACAATGTTAAAAAAAAAAAAATTATTTTGAGTTTATAAAGGCTAAGATCTTGAAATTCACAAAATGAATGGTTTAAATTCCTTTTTGGAGGGGACTCATTTTGACTATATCTAGGGTCCAAATTGACCTTTTTTTTTGTAGAGGGGTTGATTATTGAGATTAAGAGAGTATGTGTGTAAAATTTGGGGTTATACAAATACCACAAATATGGTTTTTTAGAAGTGTCGTTGTATCATACTATGATATAACCGTTGCATTGGATCATTGCTTTACAAAATATCTTAAAATTTATAGAGATAAAGTATATCAAATTTTAGAGAGATAAATTATCTTATATATTTAGAGAGAGAAACTATCTTAAATTTAATAATATATATATATTAATGATACAATAAATACATTTAACAAATTTTTTTAAAAAAACATGAAAATATTATGCATCCAAACAACTGAAATCTATTTCATATAAGATACTTTTCTCAAAATACATTTTAAATGAAATAGATTTTTTCAAGTAATCCATTTCCATGGATCCAAACGGCCATAGTGTTCAAGATTAATTATTTTGTTGAGCTAAAAATAGTTAATACGTGGGAAGAATTGAAATATGTATACAATGTGATCAGTTCACTTATGGTTGGAGGAGTTGGCCAGAGTTACCATCGGCAATTGGGCTTGACTCGAGTGGTTTAGGATGTGTCATTGGTCATCAAAGCTTGAAATAAAAATTTCAAAGCTTTGTCACAATTCAAGTTTCGTTTCTGATAACTAAAGGTGACTATGATATGCTATACCTGAGTTAAACGGTCTTACCTATGGACCTTTTAAAAATAACGGTTAAAATTCTAAGATAGATTATTTCTTGAAGCCCTTGAAATAGTCAAGATTTCATTGGGTTAGGGTCCGTGATCATAAATGGTTCACATTTTGAAATGGCATTTAAGATGGGTCATTTTCAATTTTGCCGGTCTATCAAAACCAAGCAAGTTCAAGAAATGTCACTTAATTCACAATATTATTAGTATACACGTTTGATACATAGGTGTTCTAAAATACCAATATATCTATAGGCAACATAATGGGATATTGGTGTTTTAGTATACCAATATCTCTCAATTTTATTTTATTTTTTTAAGTTCAACTGTAGGAACTGAACATCAGATTTAGTGCTACGAACATCAGATTTAGTGCTACGAAATGATAGTTGCTAACCACTCGAGGTTTGATATATTTCACAAGGTGTTTAGAATGAGATATTGAAGCTTAAATACCAATCTATTACCTATAAGTGGTCATTAAAAAGTTTAATTGGGTTTTAATTTAGGGGAATTACTAAAAAAAAAAAAAGGTTTAGGTGTCAATTTTATACTATTAAAGTAAGTTGTACCTCAAAAATCCTATAGAAGATAGTGATCCAGTGTTAGAAAATGCTATAATTGATCATCTTGACCTCAAGATATATATATATATATATAAAATAAAGAAAAAAAGAATTTCAAATTCTAATATTAGTACATATTGTAAGAAGTTATCTAAGTAGTCGTATTATTAAGATTGTATATTTGCTCGATTTGTTCTACTTTTAGAATTTTGAATTTCATAACATACATAAAATTTCAAGCCATCATAAGGTTTTCTAAACTACATTCGTAGGTAAAATTTAGAGAAATTTAGAGATGCATTTTATGTTGTATATGGGAGGCACCTTTTATTAAACTCGCACTTATTACGAAGCAAACTTATACAAAGTGACCATTTAATATAAGGAGATAACAACTATATTGTATGTTAAATTTCAATTGGGATTCTTGAACTCTTTTCAAACCATACAATTTAACATCTAATGGCTAAAAATAATTGTGACCTTATAAATTATAACTGAAATTAAAGGCCCGATAACAATACAGTCCCCTTTACAAATCTCCCCAAAAGGGCAAAACGTTATATTGAGCTTATTTATGTGGGCAGTTTGACGATGTACGAACCTTTTAGTAGAGTAGACCCCTTATTCGGGTACAATGAACTTAGAGGTAAGCCTTGGAAAATGATTGGACTTCGCATTTAAAGCTTATAAAACTTGCATTTAATTAGTCATAATCTACGGAAACGCCTCTACGCGTTAGACTCTCTTTTCTTCTCGACAATTAATAGCTGTTGGGTTTTGGATAATACTTGCATGGAATTTATAGATAGAAGCATTGAGTAATACTCAAAAAAAACTCACATGCTTTAGATATTTTAAGGGTAGCAATTTATCAAGATTAGTGTTTCAAAATTCGGATCGCTAGGGTCGATCATCTACACAAGTATTCGTGTCGAATTGTTGGATGGGGGATCTGCATTCATCAAAATATGTGATCCAGCAAAATATTCAAAAGTTCAAAATTATAAGTACAATTAAAATAGATTTTGTAGGGTGAAGATTTCTAACAAATCTAACAAAATATTAAATAAACTTAAAAAGATTAGGGACCATTGAGAGAAAATCGGATCAAAACTCGTTATTTTTCAATACCCTATTCCGTCCTCATCAATTTCTGATCCGCACTAAATATTATTTATTTTATTCTTAGCACGCAGTGCGTAGCCACTATTTACGCTTTAATGGAGATGAAATGCACTTCCTTAAAAGTGTACGTGTAATATAATGGAATCATACTGAATTGCATGAGATAGATGTGATGGGCATATCCACTTCCATCGGTTAAAAAGCCACTAAGAAATAGTCTAGACTCCATGCAATTTTAGTTTAAAATTGCTTAAAATAGTTGGAATTGACCGAAAAATGTAAAGAACAATTGTTTTGTGCAAGCTGCACTGCATTTCTACAATAT